TGTTTTCTTTTTCTTTTTTCTTTTTCTTTTTGGAATCTTGGAATGATTGTTGAATTCATTCCTTCAGCCCATACTAACCTTAGTCTCTACATACAGAGTAAAACTGACCCAGAATCAGCTGTCCCCTCCCATTCATTAACCCAATGAACATCCCAAACCTTTGCGCGGTTCTACGATGATTTTAACAACCCCGCTGTCAGTTAGGATAAATAGCTCTCCATCCCTGATTGTTAAATTATGTCCTCTATGATTCATCAATCTGTTCAGTGGCTGCATTAGAGGAGTGGGTAGGTATGACAGACAGACAGAGGGAGAGATGGAGGGCGGCGCACAGGGGTTAAACGCAGGAGGGAAGTGGCAAGACACACTCACACTGATCCATTAGCTAATGGAAACCTAAAGCACTGTCACTTAACCCCCTGTGTTCCCATCATTGTCACACACACCTCTCAGTTCTGTGTGTGTGTGTGTGTTTGTGTGTGAACATGTGTGCACACAGTGCACTTAAAGGTAATAATAAGAAAATCAAGTATAGTATTCATGTGTGAGTGCATGAAAATGACTGTGTTTCTCTACAAAACCATGCACACAACACTGGAACTAAAATGGAGCGAGGAAAATGTAATCCTAGCCCAAAGTTAAGTTACATTAAGTTACATTAATGTTAAATTTAGTTACATTGATACGTCAGTAGGTGGCGACAAGTGACTGTCTTCATGAATGAGTCATTTAAGAATTCAACCAATTTGAATTCCAAAAAAAACTAAACAGAATCATTCAGCAAAAGAAACAAGTAACTGCCGAGTGAGTCATTGAATCAGCTACTAAAACATTGATTCATTCTGAAAATTACACTACTGTGTTGCTTTGCAGAATTCATTTATGCTGACATGGCATTTAAAATCACTAGTGGCATGTTGTGTCCAATCAAAAGCAAACAGAGCCCATTCTGCCCCATCTCACGAGAAAATGTAACTGTGTTTCTACGAAACATATTATTTTTAGGAAAAAAACATGAAAGTTTATACCTAACCCCACCACTAAACATCATTTTACAAATTGTATGAATTAATACAAATTAACCACCAATTGACCCTTCGCAGAGAGTTTGACGGACAGGTGATCTGACCAATCATAATGCAGAATCCACCGTTTTGTCCGACAAACAATCCAGGCAAGAGAGTAGATTAACGTCGGTGGTTTTGAACTTGAAAAGTGTTGTGTACTGACATCTTTCCACGGCTAAAACAAGATACCTTCTGGTGTTCATTCATATTTATTTCACGCTATAAAGAGGAAGAGATGATTGGTTTACATGCCGCTTGAACTGAAGTGCTAAAGCGATCTTTCACAACACATTAAAGAGCCACAAAACTGTATTTGATAAACAGGGTAAAAATTAATGGAATGTCCTAAGTAACATAATGACTAGAATATATTGGTGGTTTTGAACTTGAAAAGTGTTGTGTACTGACATCTTTCCACGGCTAAAACAAGATACCTTCTGGTGTTCATTCATGTTTATTTCACGCTATAAAGAGGAAGAGATGATTGGTTTACATGCCGCTTGAACTGAAGTGCTAAAGCGATCTTTCACAACACATTAAAGAGCCACAAAACTGTATTTGATAAACAGGGTAAAAATTAATGGAATGTCCTAAGTAACATAATGACTAGAATATATCTAAAATATAGAACACCCTGGAACCCACCTAGCAACTACCCTAAAAACATAGCAGTGAGTCTTACTTACATTTTACATGAGCACTACTTAGAAAATGTGAAACTACAGTAACGTTATTTTATTTAACAGGACAAAGTCAACATAGAAGTTAAAGTGTCCCAGAAAATCAGCTCAAGTAAAAAGAAAAGACTGCGATATAATTGGCAGAAAATGTAAAACCGACACAACCATTGAATTCCTGCAGAACTCAACCTTCTGCACTGAAGTCAGTGGACAGACATTTTTCAAGCTATTCAAATCGGTTCATTTTACATATGTGAGTATATCTGCTGATGACTGTAAATGTAAATGATGAATCAATTAAGTGCCAAATGCATTTTAATAAAAAAAAAAAGACCAGAGCCATCATTAATATGTTAAAGTGGCAGTGGGCATATTCTCTATGCCAGAAGCATGTAATATATTAATGAACTAGAGTCATTAAAATGGGTCCATATTACTAATAAGGTGCGCTTAATTTCTGATGTGAATGTAAATTGATGTGAATATAACTCTTATTGCAGATGACAGGCTTGTGTGTGATCATGTGAATCCCAGCGCTATAACATCACTTCATTTCTTTATACATATATAATTAATTGCTTTATTACAATGTCGTAAATGCCGTACATTTTAATTTCCCACAACAACTAAAATTTAAAATGCTTAGAAAATCAATTGAAATTTTTTTATTCCGTTTTTTTTAATTAACAACAAAAAACCCACAAAGAATGACGAGTCACAGACAAGAGGAAACTTTAATTAAATATTGTGAAAGTCAAAAAGTTATTTTACAGTTCAAAGGTAATTTAAAAAATGATCATCTTTACAGTAGTTTCTTTTTATATTTTCAGCAGTAATAACTGCCCACTGAAAGTCCAGTCTACAACAAGTATGTAATCAACAGGAAAAATAGTAGCAGATGACTTGTCAATTTGGATGCGTGAAATATTAATCAATAAATCAAGTAGCCATAAAATGATAACGTTGCAATTTATGCCCATTTAAATAATGGGAAAAGCCATGATTCAGAAAGAAATGAGCCACATAAACAGCGACTTAGATGTTCAAGAAACACAGAAAGTTTTGTGATGTGATGCACTGGGGGAAAAAAAAAAGATGAAACTCATTAAGACATGACAGTGGAGAGGAGTGTCATGGAATGAAATGAGCGAGCGAATAACTGTATAGACTCTTGTGCTGTTACTCCATAGTTTAACTTGTTCATTTATATTTTTCTCTAATATTTTTATCTAACCAAACTATCAAAAACCTTTTTTAAAAAATAAATAAATAATGTAAAAAAGAGAAATCTGCATTAAGACATTTGATTGTTGGTACACTTCCCCAAAAAAAAAAAAACAAGGATTGTGGAATTATTGACAAGGGAAATAAAAGAAAAAAATATATGTATTATTAAAAAAGCAAATTCCGGAGAGAAGATATTCAAAAACAGGGCGATATTACTGTATATTTGTTGAGCATGAAAACAATAACTATCCTTTTCTCTGCAAGTTCCAGAGAAGCAAAATTAAAAGATTATATTGTTTACATGTTGAATATACTCTCAAACGTCATTGCATTCAAATATAAACTATTTAACAAATCTTGCCATCTGAAACAAAACAATGTAACAAAATGGTATAACATTTTCATAGAGAAAAAAAATCCAATCGCTCTGTGCGAACGGGCAAAAAAAAAAAGTTGTTCTTCGACGTACAAAAATTACTATGCAAATAAAATTCCAAAATCACATTTATGGACACAACTTGGCAGATGACAAAATAAAAACAGATCATCGCCAAATGATGAGCGAAAACATGAAGACAGTTTGAAGCATGTACAATTTCAAGCGATGCATACATACAATATTCATATGGATATCCTACATATATCCCTTCGTGATCATCAAAACCTCAGAGCTAAAGTCAATGAGATCTGCTAAGCATGTCGTAAACATTATATCAGTGACACTAGGTTGTATAAAGCTGCCTTATGACTCCATTCTGATGTATAAATATATTTCAAACAATGACTATTTGAGAATAATGAAATCAAACATATTTCTCAGTCTGTACAAAGAATACACGCTAGAATCCAATGTAATGGCTTCATCTGAATCTCGGATCATTCGTGAGATTTCACAGTGCTGACTATGCCGTAACATCCAAACCCTTCATCTCCTGAGCATACACTCAGACTGATCTACATCGGTAGTTCTCAACTGGTCTCATCTGATAGGGTCACGGACAGTTGGGGGAAAAAACAATGGTAAATCAAAATTATGAAATGCTATGAATCATATAATGTGCATAGTGGTTTGAATGCATTGCAGTGTTGATTTGAAAAACATTTTCATTACTTTTGCATGATAATCTCAGGGATGTGTCGGGCAAACTCAAAGGTAAAACCAGTTGAGAACCACTGAACTACAAGAAAAGCAGAACATTAAATACTTCATCAGCTTCTTCCTCAACCTTTCAGTCGGTTCAGTCTGAACATTATCTACTGGAGGAAGTCCATTGCAAACTAAAGTATAAAAAAAACACAAACAAATTAAAAGGAAAAAGGTCATTAAAATGGCATAAAACACTAATAATTTGCGTTTGTGTTTTTGACACTGCAAATCCTCCATAGAGAGTAGTTATAAAAAGAAGGCAGCAATCGCTTTTTGGGCTTTTTGACGGCCTTGTCTCTATATAAAATGAGTGCTTGTCTTTGACTCTTTTGTGTTATTACGGGTAAGTGTTTGGTCTATACATTTTGGCATTACATAATGATAAAACTGGGTAGAGATGAGCATGAAATGTCAAATGTTGCCTTCAAGTCATGTCGGATTTACCAATGCAATATCTTAATCTCCAGTGAGAAACTTTAGTTGCTTTTCTTTAAGTCTTTATGAGTTAGTGCTGTGCCAATTCAAATCATTGTGGGGACAAACTGATCTTGAAATTGACTGTTAATATGCAGTTTTTGTGCTGTGGATCAAGAATAGCTATAAAGCTAAACCAAAAACACTACTTTTATGTGACAACACTATCAATCTTTGAAGGAATAACTATAAAAAAATACACAAAGCATCCAGTACACATCTTTATCCTTTGCATTTAAAGTGATAGTTAATTCAAAAATGAAAATTCGGTCATCATTTATTCACCCTCAAGTTGTTCCAAACATGTATGAATTTTATTCTTCTGTTGAACACAAAAGATATTTTAAAGAATGTGGGTAACCAAACAGGTTTGGAACAACTTGAGGTGAGTAAATGACAGAATTTTCATTTTTGAGAAACTATCCCTTTAATTTTGTTGCAGAGGTGCTAAAAAGCTTAACGTTAAGTTTAAAAAGCGAGAAATATGAAATCGCCAAACATGCCTATTTTTCCCAACCAAACGTTTTACGAATCAAAACTTCCCAGAAGGACTTGAAGGCAGCATAATATCAACAAATGGAATATGAATGTGAAAATCAAGACTCAAGAAATGAGCTCTGAATTGGATTTTAACCATGGTAAAAAAAGGCATAAATAAATTTTTCACAGCCGCAGTTTTAATATGAGTTTACATTGCTGGCATTTTGTAGACTGCTTGACTTCAGTTCTTCAAATTCAAATGCATTTTCACTGATTCAGTGGGACATTACTGCACATAAATCACCTGCAATCCTTCATCTAAAATCATAAATAGAAACCACTGCAATATTGTGTCAGGTATCATTTCATAAAAGGGTGGTACACACAGAAACACACAAATATGATGGCAAATCAATAACTAAGTTTTTAAAATAAATAGACCTCTCATGTTATAGTGTAGACGGGGCGGCTGAGCATCATTTGTGCTGTCGCCCCTTATCTTAAAAAGTGTCTAGAAGGTGAGTACAAATTTCAACATCAAAACAGGGAGGTACAACAGTTCAGTTCGATATTTTTCTCGAATCGTTCTTCCTCTATATCTTTTTGTTTCAAAGCAGATTGTTTAAAAAGGGCCTGAGTTTGTAGTTTTTCATCCTTCAGAACAGGACCAGGAGGTCAGTCCAGCGCCGGAGTATTCTGCACTCGCTCAGTGAGACCAGTGGCATGAAAGAGCATGTTTCATCTTTCCGTCTGCACACAGACACACACACACACACACCGACACACACACCCACGCACCCTACATTGGAGGAACAATCATTCCAGGGATAACTGTGAAGAGAGAAAGACACAAGAGTGTTAGTTCACTTTACTCCATTAAACATGCCATCATTGAAACAGACCTGGCTGCACATAAAAATGAAGTGTGAGAGAATGAAACTTTGAGTTGTACAGCAAAGCAAGCACCAGCTACGAGATTGGACACCGTTTCATATTTTTCCGCAGTTCTTTAAACTCAGAAATCAGTTTCCACATCTGCGTTACAAACTGTGGCTTCTTCAGATGAGGGATCAATCCTAATCTCTTTCAGCGTCAATGCAAAATTGGCAAAAACGAGACACTTGAAGCGCTTGATTAAATATCAAATTGTTTGCAAACCATTTCTGGGCTTTGTAAGGTCATGGTTGCCCTGGAGTACACCACTAAAAATGATGAATTCAAGGAAATCTGAGACAGTCTATCACATCATTCATGCCAGAGACTTCACTCTCTATAGTTAAGCCAACATGAACTTTTTCTTTACGCACGAGGAAAATGCTTAGCACTGCAGATCTGACTCAACATGAGTTTAGCAACTGCTGACAAGCAAGAAAAGAAGAGAGGTGAACTGTTTTGGATACTCTAGGAACCGCTGGAGGTGAAACACAACCTTGAAAGCATGCAAACACACACTCACACATAAAACTGACACACTGGAACATAATTTTCAATGTAGCATGTTTTGCAGGTATATAGCATGATGTACTGAAACAGAAAAATGGTGTGTGGGAAACATGGGAGATTTAAAGGTGAAGTGTGTCATTTTCAATGGCATTGCAAAAGAATGACTGTTTTCGAACAGGTTTCTCAAACATGCCTCTTGTCTGTCACTTCCAACTCGCATCACTGAATTTCTTAGAGCTGGGATTGTAAGTATTTTAACATCATTAACACCATAAAAAAGAAGCATACTTGTTATGCTAGAGCACTGTTATTTGTTGGTATATGGATGATCAGATATAGAAACAGTGGGATGGATGTGGGAGGAGTAACGGATGAGTAACATACTTCAGGAGAAGGCCAGGCCCTGGAGCGCGCTGGCTGTGGAGTACTTGTTAGAGTCGACAAAAGACTGATCTGAGGGCAGTGGAGAGAAGAAGAAGAAGGGGAAGGGAAAGAAGAGAGAGATGTTAATATCAGAACGAATGATGGGTCAAAAGGAAGATTAGATATTCATGCCTCTAGTTTACTATGTCACAGATCCTCACTGGACTTTAGTGGTGTCACATACAGTGGGGAAAAAAAGTATTTAGTCAGCCACCAATTGTGCAAATTCTCCCACTTAAAAAGATGAGAGAGGCCTGTAATTTTCATCATAGGTATACCTCAACTATGAGACAAAATGAGAAAAAAAAAAGAATGACTGTTTTCGAACAGGTTTCTCAAACATGCCTCTTGTCTGTCACTTCCAACTCGCATCACTGAATTTCTTAGAGCTGGGATTGTAAGTATTTTAACATCATTAACACCATAAAAAAGAAGCATACTTGTTATGCTAGAGCACTGTTATTTGTTGGTATATGGATGATCAGATATAGAAACAGTGGGATGGATGTGGGAGGAGTAACGGATGAGTAACATACTTCAGGAGAAGGCCAGGCCCTGGAGCGCGCTGGCTGTGGAGTACTTGTTAGAGTCGACAAAAGACTGATCTGAGGGCAGTGGAGAGAAGAAGAAGAAGGGGAAGGGAAAGAAGAGAGAGATGTTAATATCAGAACGAATGATGGGTGAGTATATGGTCAAAAGGAAGATTAGATATTCATGCCTCTAGTTTACTAGAAAAAAACAGATCCTCACTGGACTTTAGTGGTGTCACATATATTGCCATTCAGATGTTTGGGATCAGTAAGATTTTTTATTATTATTGTTATTATTATTCAGCAAGGATGCATTCAATTGAATAAAAGTGACATTAAAGACGTTTATGCTGTTAACCCAAAAAAAAAAAATTATTTTGAACTTTCTATTCATCAAAAAACTCCATAAATATAAAGCAGAACAACCGTTTGCAACTGATAATATTAAGAAATGTTTCTTGAGCAACAAATACAATGATTTCTGAAGGATCATGTGACACTGAAGACTGGAGTAATGATGCTGAAAATTCAGATTCGCCATCACAGAGATAAATAAAAATTGAAAACTTCTTCAAATATAAAAGTTATTTTAAATTGTAATAATATTTCAAAATTTTACTGTATTTTTTATCAAATAAATGCAGTTTTAGTGAGCATTAGAGACAAAAAAAAAAACATTAAGATATCATACCAATCCCAAATGTTTGAATGGTTGTGTATTCACAAAAAATAAAAAAATCTCAGTATTCTACTTCAGTATCACCGAAACATCATTACTGTCATATTTCCCTAGTGAAAAATAAATATACTAAAATGCATTTGAAATGCATTTATTACATGCTAAGTATACCACAAATACATTTACTCATTTATGAACTTAATAAAAATACCCTGCAATTGTGCTTCAAATGGATCAACTCATTTTGTACTTAATGCACTTTAATTGTGTGGAAGCTGTACTGAAGTATATTTGATTGTGCTAAAGTGGAACTATTGCAAGTATACTTCAGGTACACTTTAAATATCTTGCTTTTAAAGACCAATATTATTCAAAGATCATACAATCCTCATCAATAGTGACATTAAAACACATTTTAGACTTAATATTAAAACATTTACATTAAATTAAAATTTTTAAAAAAAAAGAAAAAAAACCCTACAAGGTGCCAATTTGAGTTGAAACAGATTGGTGCTCATAAATTATTATTTAAATAAATAAAAAAAGTCGAACCTCTGGAAGTAATTCGCACACTTTTATACAGTGTTGTCAGTGGACATCCATTTTATTGCTGCAGTATTTTCAGTTTTTAAAGTTTGATGATGTCATTACTGTCATAAAAATCCCACCCCAGCAGAATCTGAGTGTGAAGGACTTGTGCGTTACCTTGGAGACCGTTCCCATTGGTGCTAGTGCATGTAGGTGGAGGTGAGGACTGGGGCCGAACGACAGGAGCGAACGCGCTCTTCTGTTTCACAGCTGAAACCATGTTTGCCGGAGAGAAGGAGAAGATTCCAGAAGAGCTGCTGCAGTTTGAGGGCAGGTTGGTGGAGGAGGCCATGGTGGGGCTGGAGGGGACGACTGCAGGAATGCAGAGAAACACATTTTGGATTCAGCAAAAAAACAAGCAAGGAAGAGATAAATTAAGAAATAAAAAGTATTGTGGGGCGGAAATTATTAGTTGCAATTAATCTCAATCCCAGAAGAATACATTTTAGTAAAGAGTAATATATTTAAAATGCATTTATTTCATACTAAGTATAGTTCAAAACATTTACATTAAATTAAAATTTTTAAAAAAAAAGAAAAAAAACCCTACAAGGTGCCAATTTGAGTTGAAACAGATTGGTGCTCATAAATTATTATTTAAATAAATAAAAAAAGTCGAACCTCTGGAAGTAATTCGCACACTTTTATACAGTGTTGTCAGTGGACATCCATTTTATTGCTGCAGTATTTTCAGTTTTTAAAGTTTGATGATGTCATTACTGTCATAAAAATCCCACCCCAGCAGAATCTGAGTGTGAAGGACTTGTGCGTTACCTTGGAGACCGTTCCCATTGGTGCTAGTGCATGTAGGTGGAGGTGAGGACTGGGGCCGAACGACAGGAGCGAACGCGCTCTTCTGTTTCACAGCTGAAACCATGTTTGCCGGAGAGAAGGAGAAGATTCCAGAAGAGCTGCTGCAGTTTGAGGGCAGGTTGGTGGAGGAGGCCATGGTGGGGCTGGAGGGGACGACTGCAGGAATGCAGAGAAACACATTTTGGATTCAGCAAAAAAACAAGCAAGGAAGAGATAAATTAGGAAATAAAAAGTATTGTGGGGCGGAAATTATTAGTTGCAATTAATCTCAATCCCAGAAGAATACATTTTAGTAAAAAGTAATATATTTAAAATGCATTTATTTCATACTAAGTATAGTTCAAATCTATTAACATATTTACTGACATATCACTCGAGACCTATTGGATTAAACATTATAATTCAACTTTATTTGGAGTACTACTTGTGCACAATGCACATTTCTTAATATTAAGCCTAAAATGTGTTTAAATGACACTATTGATGAGGATTGTTTGATTTTTGAATAATATCGGTCTTTAAAAGCAAGATATTTAAAGTGTACCTGAAGTATACTTGCAATAGTTCCACTTTAGCACAATCAGTATACTTCAGTATATCTTTAGTTGGACTTCAGCACTACTTCTGCACAATTAAAGTACATTAAGAATAAAACTAGTTGTTCCAATTTAGCAGACTTTAAGCAAAGACTACCCAAGAATACCCAAGACGTGTCACTCGTATAGTTTTGAATGGGGAAAAATGCAACACTCAATATGGCCGCTCTATCGAACGAAGCCCCGCCTTCTGAGCAAAAGAGCCAATCGCTAATTAGTAAAGTCAGTGCATCACTGCACCTGCTGTTAGAAGTCCTGGTTGCTATCTACATTTTTCTTCAACGTGGAAGTAAGCCTATGGGTGAGACTTCCGGTTCATTAGCCGCTATAGGTAAATAACGAGGAGAATAACAGCGTGCAATAAACGGTAAAACTGTTTGCACTACAAACCAGTGTGTTCATAATTAAGATAATACATTAAAATAATATGATAAGACGCACCAACTTTCAATATAAAGCAGCAAAACGAATTGTTTTGTTCAGCTAAAAATAGCTGGACGGAGTAGACGCAGATGAGACCGGAAGCCAGACCCATAGAATTTACAAATGGCCGGGCCCATCTTTACGCCAAGAAAAAGGTGGATAGAAACAGTCAACGCTCTGAGATGTCCGCTTAGGACTGTGCATGCGCACTGGCTCATCTAGCCTAAAAAAAATAACTTTTTTTAACGCTATTTGAGCAAAATAAACAACATTTATGATACAGTTGTTGTCAGATTTCATTGGTGATTTCAAATATTAAATTTAATCGTAAGCTTAGTCAACAGTTTTGGAGAATTTGATGTTTCCCCATTCAAAGAGATAGGAGCTGCCCTTGGTTGCCGCAAGCCCGCCGGACGCTCCTTTGTCGAATCCGCCAGCCGCACCATTCTCAAGCCCGCCCACCTCCACTCACTCAAGCCCGCCGGCTGTGTGTGAAGCTGTGTTTCGTTGTGAAAGTGAAACTACTTTGTTTGGCCTTCCAAAAGAGGACACGACTAGAAATCAGTGGTTAAGTTGTACTTACAACACTGTTCCAGAACAGTTCAACCCAAATATTCAGATGTGTGCAGCACATTTTATGGAGGACTGTTTCCTGATCCTGGTAGAGTAGACTACAATGCCGGCTGTTCTGACTCACAGACTGTAAGTACGTTTTTTATATTTAAACAATTTGCCACTGATGATTCAAACGCGAGTTTTGAGCAGTGTAGAGTAGGGCTTGTAGTTTGTAATTTCTCCGATCACAAATGCAGACATGGTTTTCTGTTTACGCGGCGCGATGCAACGCAACGCGTAAAAAGACAGTATAAGTCATTATAATCTATAATTATGTCCCCACTGGATGCAACGAATGCCTCGTTTATGATGGGTTTTCATGTTTTTGAATCGTTGCTCCGGCCTGACAAGGCATCATCACAGTATGGCAAGGGGCGTAACATTTCCGTCACACGCTTGAGGTATTCGGCCAATCATAACGCACTGGATAGCTGGCCAATCACAGCACACCTCACTTTTCAGACCAATGAGCTTTGTAAAAATCGACGCATTTCAGAAAGGCGGGGCATAGAGGAGAAACAATAATGTACAGTATGTGGAAAATAATGTGTTTTTTGAACCTTAAACCGCATAAACACATTTCATTACACCAAATACACAAAATAATATTCTTTTTAGCAACATCATATGACCCCTTTAAGTATACAAACTTAGTATACCAAAATTACAAATGCAGGGCATTTTTATTAAGTACATAAATATACAATGTATTTGTTGTATACCCAGCATGAAATACACATATTTCAAATATATTTTAGTATATTTATTTTTCACTAGGGTGTTTATTTCTTAAACACAAATTTTGATGCTAAACATTTTACCGATTAAAATACAGGCGACAACTAAGTAAGCCATTTGAAGGCTGATGTCTTGTGACATGCTCAACATTTTGCCATGTTTGAAACTCAGCTGTATTGGTTTTAATATTTAATAAGGATTTAAAAATTGAAGTTGTCAGATTAGTTCAGTTGAAACCTTATAACAAAGGCAGAATCCATTCATCAAGTCTTAACTAATCAATTCATGAAAACTGGAAGCTTAACCGGGGTCTCTGCGATTGATTGGAAGTGTCTGATGGAGTCAGTGAGCCTTTTATAATACTTGTTAACATTGCTGGATGTTAGCAGTGAAATTGAAGTGTTGCCCCTTCAATTACTTTATTGATTTAATTAACAGTGTTTAATACACAGGCCAAAATGGAATTTAAATTTGATAGAGGCAATAAAACCCTGTTTTTGTAAAGAAGACCAGAGTCATCAGAGGATAGAGTGGGCAGGGTTGCATTGCCAAATTCCTGATTGCTTTCTTTTCCTTTGCACGGGATGTTTGTGTCAAAGTTTCGCGTGCTGCTCGTCTCGCCTTTTTTAAGATTTAATATCAGATTGGCCCCCAACCCCCCGAACACACACCCTCACTGCTCAAGTCATAATTAAGCAAACAAACACATCACTCTTGGAATATTCCAAATTCTTTTGTCTCTGGCTCACTTTCGCATGGTTAATTGGAAAGAGCAAGCAATTAAGTATTAGCTCAATAAATAACAGCTGGAGTGAGGTGGCACTGGCAGGTGAACAGAAGAGAGAGAGAGCGAGTGAGGAGAGACTTTTAAAGAGCTGTTGAATATAGACTGCAGAGCATTGTGGGAATTCTCAGTTGGGAATTCTATCAGACCTAAAGGCCCATACTGTCAGACTTCCTGCAATGATTGTGCATCAAAGACAAAAGCTTGTTTGGAAACAAGGGCTTGTTGGAGCATGCGAATTAAACACTTCAACTGTCAAATTTCACCAATAGTTCCAAAATACTGTATTTTATATGCCTTTTGAATGGATTTTATCGCTCATTTACACTTGCATGTATTTAAACATTGCACACGAAAGCATGTCACAGTAGGTCTGACGTCTTGACATCACATTTTGTCACATGTCTTCAAGTGAAAGTCAGATTTAAAAGCTACAGCAGAGGGAAGATTTTATTCAAATTAAAAATGTCAATCTGTTCCTGACATAAAGCAATCATATGGCTTCAGATAACATGGAAATATAATACATGGGCCATGCAGACTACACACACACACACACACACACAAAAAAAGATTTCTAGTAATTGCTAGTAAATTTTACAAATAATTACAAAGAAATGGCAGGTGCCACATTAAATTAAATGTGAAATTTTGAAGTGGAAAGACTAAAGTAGTATTTTCTTGTAAAATGTACTCCAATTAATAATAACATTATTTCTAATTATTTATAACTTCGAAATGTTCAAATTTAAAAAAAAAAAATGTTTTTTTGTGTGCTTTTAAAAAATATATAAATAAATGTTTTATTTTTTTATTAAAATAAAAAGTACTTTTAAAGTGAAATTGTATCATTTCACTTTCATTGGAAAAGAGCAGCTTGGACATTCTGCTAAACATCTCCTTTTGTGTTTTCTGAAAGAAAGGAAGAATATATAGAATATCACATCTCAATACTAACTTGCGTAGGGCGAGTTGGCGGCAGAGCCGTTCAGGAAGCTCGGGGAGCCGGTCAGGTTGTTCATGCCGCTGTTGCCGTAGCCGTTCATGCTGGTGGATACCGTACTGTAACTGCTCTGCTGAGGGGTGGAACTGGGCACATATCCATGTGGTGATACGCTACTCGTGTTACGACTGAAACCTGCGGCCGGACACAGAGAAAACTTCAACTTAGCCTTATGTTAAAGTAGTGTGGCAGTATTCAGCTTTGATAAACTTCATCCTATATATCAAGTGTGTGTATGTCTGTGAAGAGGGAAAAAGCAAGAGAATAACATCTCACCCTGGTTTCCACCCTGAGACGACTCTGAGACGTTAACAGCGAGCTGTCCAGTGAAGGAGTTCACGCCCATCATGCTTGCATGGACGGAGCTGTTGGTGAGGCCGGTGAGCTGGTTATGGTTTCGTGGCACATTGTACAGGGCTTCAGCAATGTCTGCTGCTCGCTTAAGAATGATTTCCTAAGGAAAAATGAGCCATCATCTCTCACAATTGAACACTTTCATAGCATATGTGGATGTTGTTTCAACTTGATTGACTGATTTTGGCAACACTTTATTTTGATGGTCGCTATTTGACATTCTGTTTACTATAAGCAACTTGGCAACTAAATGTCCACTAGCTTAATATCTGCTAAGACTTTATTTTGATGTTTCCCCAACACACATTCTGCTGGCTAGAAGTAACTTTGCAAGTGCATGTCAACTTATTCTACTAAACCTAACCTGACAGTCAAATACTCTACTAATACTCTAATGAGATTTATAGTTGACATGTATTTGCAAAGTTACTTATAGCCAACTGAATTTCTAGGGAGAAAAAAAAAATCTATTTAACTTTGCATTATATGAAAGTCAAATAAAAAAATTTATATTATGACTATTTTTTTCTACTTTTCAAATGCTTTTTATATGTTATTGTTAACATTTTTCTTGTGTCAGAGTTTCAATAATAAAATATGAAAATGCAACAAAAAGTAAAAAAATTGTTACAACCTAAATAAAAATGAACAATTTTGATATGTATTGTCTTAAATTAATTTAAATTAGTGCTGTTAAACGATTAATCGCGATTAATCGCATCCAGAATAACCGTTTTTGTTGACATAGTATACGTGTGTGTGCTGTGTATATTTATTATGTCTATTTAAATACACATCCATGCATGTATATAATTTAAAAATATGTTACGTTTATATATACAGTTTATATTATATATATGTATATATAAATTACATGTAAATACATGTAAATATTTTCAAAATATATACTGTATGTGTGTGTACTCATACATATACATAATAAATATACATAGTACACACACATATATTACTCAAACAAAAATATTTATTTTGGATGCGATTAATCGCGATTAATCGTTTGACAGCACTAATTTAAATATGTAACACAAATTACATCCGTTGTGATTTCATGTCCTTCTTGGCTAACTATTTTGACACTAAAATTTTTCTCCTTCAAAAGTTAGTATACTTGTTTATGAAAGTAGCCTTAGAAAAACAAAGTAATCACTCATTTTATTCAAAAATACAAATATAAACACCCATATATTTTCAACAAGTGTTAACAGTCAACTGTTAGTGAAGGGAATTTGTGCAACTGTCATTTATCAATGATAATCAAGGAGTTTCTTCCTCACCTGGTTGTTATGAGGCATTCCATAAAGTGCTTCCACCAGATCTGCTGCTCTCTTCAAAATCACTTCCTGTATGCACAACAAACAAAGGAAATATTAATGATAAAATAAAGTTTGAGAACCAGTTTCATCCTCAGTTCAATCCATATACATTTACAATCCATAATACTTGTCACTTGTAACTATACAATGTGATGTTGTTCTCTTTCACAGATGAAAAAGGGTTGAATTTCCGTTTAATAACATCGGCGATCACAGCCAAGTGGAACACATGGAGCTGATGTTTGCTCAATTGTTCTGTGTCTGTCAGGATGAAAAAGTGCAGTATTTCAGCAAACATCTGCTTTGCGTTGAGGAAGGACAATGCAATCTATGTTTGCAGAGAAGGTCACTCGGTTTCACAGTACTGGGCAATAACTCAGCGGAGAGCAAGCTCTCGTAAGAGCTCTTGCGATGACGGTACATCAGAGATGGAATCGATGTGTTCCCGCTAATGAGAAGTAATTACTTTAACATATGCTTTTCTGCGCAGTCACATGATGGGGAAGAAGGACAACGGGTGTCATGATTGTTTAAGTGCAATGGCTGGAAAACATTAGTGACTTTTGTGTAGCTTTAATAATGTGATTATGTGGCTTGTGCAACATCTCCACATTATCAAACTAGCATGGGAGAAGTGCACCAAACGCGCGCGCTTGTCTTGGCCAGTAAAAGTTGAGACACGAAATCCTGTGTTTTGAACAAATTTTCACAAACAATGAATTAATGATGCAATACGGATCACATCATGTAGGTTTGTCATTCGACATCTCTCATAAATCAAATGCAATAAGTCAAAATACCCTTATGGAAAAACCACATGAATTTTACATTTTAAAAAATGGCAACTTTTGTGTGATTTTGAAACTCATTACCAATGTTTTACATGTGAAACTTTTAAATCTCAAATGATGATTAAATATTTTCACACACTGGGCCTCATTCATTAAACAGAAGCAAACAAAAACTCTAATAATATATTTTTTCATAAAACATTTCTTCAATTGTTCTGAATTGCACTGTTATAAATGTAAATAGTTTTTTTTTTAATTAAAACATTTTTGTGTTAATTGTTGCATTGATATATATACAAAGTCATTCCAGAATTGAAAACCATTCTTACATAAATTATTGCATGTAATAAATGTAATCATAAAACCAACTAGAAATTAACTTTTTACATTAAATGTTGCATTAATAGAAATGCAAAATGTGAATAAAACCATTCTTACATTGATTGGTGCATTGATACAAATGCAAATTGTTTGTAAAACAATTCTTCTGTTAAATGTTGCATTGGCATAACTGTAAATCGTTTATAAAACCAGCCTTATGTACATGATTGCATTATTGAAATGCAAAGTAGAACTATTTATATATAAATTGTTGCATTACATATTTAACATTTCTTATCTAAGTTGTTGAATTCATGAAACGTTTAATCATAAACGGTTCCATTCCTGTGAATGTAAATCATTTGAAAAAATATTTTTGCAAAAATAATTATAAATATTAATTCATAATTATATAAATAAAACAACTCAACAATAACAACTTTTTGTTAATCAGTCATAAATCTAAATTGTACATAGAATCAATCTTATGCTAAATGTAAATATAATGTACATAAATGTAAATGAATTAATGGTTTTACAAACAATTTACAAAGAAATTGGTTCTGCTCATATATACAAAATAATGAGGCCCTTTAATTTCACATGCAATTAAAATTCATGTTTTTTTTTCATAAGGGTACTGTTGTTGGATGTTTGAATGTCCCGTTGAGTGGGAGGTCTTTGGGAGAAGTTAATGCAGAAGGGCGCTGCTCCAGCTAACCGAGTGACAGGCAGAAAATTGCTCCCCCCTCTGAATGCAACCTTCACCAGGATCTTACCCCTTAGCATGTGTGTGTGAGCGCTGTGTTGGAACATATTGCCTCCCAATCAGCCCTGGGGTGTGTCGCACCGCGCACACACACACACACACACACACACACACACACACACACACACACACACATGGACACAAACGCACAAACAAAACTTGACGGGGGGTCAGGCAAGCAATGAGGAGTTTTAGTGCGCTGTCCAAGGTGCTAAATTCACTCAATTATGGCCGTGCTGGCACTGTGTTAACCTCTCATTATCGTCACGGGGAGCTGTTAGAGCGATAGATCCTGCAGCGAGAGTGAGGAGGCGGAGGAGAGTCCCTCTGCAGCCCAGCGTGTGGGATACTGGCGAGCGAAAGGGCCCGAATGAACGTGGGGCGGCCTGGAGGCAGTGAATTCCCAGTATGTGCGAGTTCAGCCAAAACATCAATCAAATTCAGCGGAAAAGATGAGGAGCAGAGGTCGATGATGAATACTGTATAGCAGAAACACTGAGCTCTATACATCACAAATGTAATATGTTTTCCTATGCCTTTGGACCAGGTACTAAGACTCATCCATAAAATTCAAACAGTGATCAGTTCGGTTAAGAAATCATCAAACCCACATGAATGAAAACATGGAAATCATGACAAAACTGGAAATCAAACACAACTATAAGTTAAAGACAATCCATAATTATCCTTACTGGTCAACACCTTCAAAAACCGATGATTATCGCAACATTACATGACTGTGCCTCACATTACAGGAAGTAGTATAACATGTTCAGATCATTTTGATAAAGCCATTTACTGTTCTGCATTTGTTCACAGTGTTGATTAGATCAGCTCTGATGCAGCAAGACATCAGCAGATGATGACATCATAAGCTTCATATACAATGATATCAGCAAATTTGGTTTACCGGAAAGGTTTTTAGTTTATATTTCCTAAAACCTGCCATTTATTTAACCCTATAAAGCCAAGTCCTCTAGATCATTATTGCATTGCGTTGCATTATATGTTTTGTCCAAAATAAAAAGTACAAAGCTTTGATCATAAAACTAAGCATTTAAATATCCCTTTACTAAAACATTATTGGGAGATACATAGTGACAACTGATTTGATTTTATGTATGCATGTTAAGTAGTTATCAAGATCTCATTGATTTACATTGCAAGCTATTCATTTTATTTTACATTTGGCCATATGAATGACTACATCTGCAACAAATTGGATACATTTTTTAGTCTTTTATAATAGTATATGACAATATGCATGTATGTATATATATAATTTTATAATAGTTCATAGTTTTTTCCTTCTCAAGCTCCATATTCTCCTGTATAGTATTGAACTATAAAAGATGTACCTGATGTAACAGGCAAATATGAAACTCAAAAAACACATATGCAAACTTTGTTTTGACTTTGTCTAAAGGTTTAATAAATGGTTCCATTAAAAAAAAATCTAACTTATTTTATAAGTCAGTTTAAAGTCAGATTTTAGATCATAGAAAATAGGAAATTTCATAGAAAAATGAAATGGACTGAGATGAAACTGTGGCCTTTGAAAACATGTGCTAGCATGAAGATCATAGGAGACCTTTCTCTAAATTTATTACAAATAATGACTTTTTTTTTCTAAGGCTAAGCTACTGTATGGCACCGTCTTTTGGATATTATATATCATGATTTTTGTCTTCTTTTGGAGTTTTTATGATTAAATTGAAATGCTTTAACATAGTTTTTTTGTGTCCATGGAAGCTATAAAGTCATGCAGCACTGGAGCAACTTCCTTAAGAAAACAAATACTAAAAACTGATCAATAAAGGCTCCAAAATGGGCAGGTTGTGTCAGATCTCATTGTCAATGTAAATGTCCAGTAGAGCATTCAAACTTCTGTTATCCTCTCTAATCCTTTCATACGGGCTACTACACCGTCTGTCCGTCTGAGCTTCTCAGGTCTGTCTGGCTTTGAACTGAAAACATTACAGCCGCTATAGGACACTAAACTGAGAGGTTTAGATAGGAGAAACACTCAAAAAAATGAACTGGGGGGGGGAAATGTCCAAAATTATATCTCTAATGACTGATAAATGTGTAAGAAACAAAGACAGATTATATTGCATATATTGTACAGAAAATGATTGCTTAATCAGGTGTATCACATTCCAAAAACTGATTAAAAGTGACCATTTCACATTGCTGTATGAATTTTGCATGAACAACCCATACATAAAAAATATCTTACATACATTTTAGTTCTATAAAATGCATTACATACATAAAAACGCTATCAATCTGCTTACAGTAGATTCATTGTATTGTAAACATACAGTAGCTTCCTAAGCAAAAATTATTTTATTTCTAAAAAGTTTAGCTTTTGTTTACAGTTTGTCTGTAAATCAGCTTTATATAAAAACAGTGGAAGTCTATGGCATGTCTTCATTTAGATCTGTGTGTGTGTGAGTGAGTGTGTGTGTGCCAGTCTCTGGGCGTCCCTGTGTTTGGCTGGTATGATTGAGGTGAGCAGTTGAAAAGAGAACCCCGTCAACAAACTGTTATTACCTCAATAAGGACGAGAAAATCGATGGGGCGGAGAGGAACAGAGCGTGTGTGTGTGTGGTGCCGCCGCTGCCAATGGGACAGCAGCCAAGACCAGAGAGATGGAGAGAGAGCGAGAGATTATGTATGATTCTCTGTTCCTCCATATGTTCGACCTCTTCATTGAGCTCAACACTGTTCTGAATGTCAGAGGTGCCAGTGTGCTGGAATAATTTATCTTCCTGCTTTCAAACACACACACACACACACACACACACACATCCACTCAAATGACTCAATTACTGGTGCTGGAGCAATAATAAAGTCCGGCCAGCGGAGACTTCGATCGCTGACCTGCCGGGAGGCACCGCTGGACAGCTGACTTCACCATGATGGATCACCTCTGGGTGCCCGCTCTCTTAAACTCACACACACACACACACACAAACACTCACATGTATATACAATAAGCTCACAGCACCAAACATACACACTTGTGAAATGAACAAGCAAAATACACTCAACGCTCTAAACAGAAGACGAATGTAGAAAGGGAATTTTGAAAGTTTCTGTGATTTTGCCAACTGTCTTCCTGAAACAGCATCATGGAATAA